TTGCCATAGACTACTGTATTTCGTAGATAGAGGATTGCTGTATTTATATACTAGAGAAGATGTGTTGCTCTGTGACTGACCTGTATAATATACTAGCTGACCCGGCGAACGTCGTACCGCCCGTAGAAGGAGTATGTACCATAATAAATATGTAGTTTATTCTCTCTCTATAGTACCGCCTAACAGTCGATTCTTTAATTTTTTTTTAATGCTTATTTTGCTATTCGGGACACCGGGTTAGCTACTAAGTAAGATAAAAAAGAAAAAGAAAATTGAAAAGTAAACAATTACATTATGTCAAAAAACAAAAATTATAAAACACATTTTATCAAATTCTTTTAAATATTGACATTACGATACTAACGTAACTCAATTTTCATGCCTTCCCGGAACCCCTCCACTAACACTTAAACTTTATAATATGGTATTAAGTTCAAATTGACGTTTAAGTATTATTACGAATCTTTTGGATAGGAATATAGAAAAGTGTTATTTTTAGACATTTTCAGGCAATTTTTTAAATATTTCTCTCCGTAAGGACCATCTTCGTACTTCAAGGAATATTATAAAAAAGAATTAGCGAAATTGGTTCAGCTGCTCACGAGATTTTTTTTTATAAGATAGGGTGACAAACGAGCACACAATCCACCTGATGGTAAGTGGTTGCTGTGCCCCATAGACATCTACATTTATCCTCGGTTGCGAATCAAAATTCAGATGCGTTGTCACCCGTGAGGACTAAGATAGAATGCCTCTTTTCCAGTAAAAAGGGTTTGCGCTTAGCAACACATTCAGCTATTCATTTTTATATTATAGATTATACAGGTCAGCAGTTCTGCCATGTTGGGGGATTTTCCCCTAAATTTTGTGGATTTTCGACTGCTTGGTGGAAAATCTAGGAGAAATATTTTTTTGGAAATTTGTTCAGGGGATAGACAAACTTCCTCAAAGGAGATGAACTTAGTTCCATACAAGCTTGGGCCTGGCGTGAACAAAGTTAAAATATAACTTATTTTTAAGACTTAAACATTTGCTACTTACGACAAAAAATCATATTTTTGTAAAACCTGGGGTTTTGTTATTATTTTGGTTTATTATTTGTAGGTTATGTAGTAAAATCACTCTTTCTTGGGATAAGTTGTTACAATAAATTGAAAGGACAAAAAAGGATGCAGATTTTTAGTTATTATTAAATAAAATACAACTCAAACTTTTTTTATTTGTTTAATTATTTTTCGCAATTATTAATAAAATGTCATCTCGAAAAGCAGCCTGAGGCTGTACATTGTCTGTTCTATTCTTCTCAAAACCCAAGTAAAACATTATTGTCATTATGTGGGCGCAACAACCTACAGTCTTGTAAATCAAGAGAAAAGCCACGGGTGAAGTTAAATTAATTCACGAAAATAAAAACACGAAATATATTCACAAACACAACCACAATGCCAAATGCGTATGACAAGTTTAAACTCGAAGACGATGTTCGTCCTGTCTCTTAACTTGCTTCTGATGGTATTCATAGTACTAAAAATTCTCTCTACAGCGGCATTGGAGTGAGGGAGAAATATCACTGAGATTGCAAAATCAGCTAATGCTTGGAAACTATTTATTCCAGCTGCGTTTTTGTATTCCAGAACCTCAACTCAGAAAATAATTATATTTTTTGGTCTGCCATTGCTGCAGAAGTTTATCAATTGTATCAAAATCCACACTTATTTCAGAAGCTAGTTCTGTTGATTTGTCTTTTACTTGTCGAAATGTGTTTTCAACACTAAACTAAGATATTTTCTCTAATATAGTGAAGTTACTTGGTAGCCTCTGCTGAATTTATTTAACCAGTTTAATGTTAAAATCAATGCACCGTTTTCTAACAGCATTTGTAATTTGAATGGGCAATGCTGATTTGCTAGCCTGCGTTTCAAATAAATACCCTAAATATGGGGCAGGATTTAAATTCTCTTCAATTTGAATACGTAAAAAATCATCATTGGTAGTTGCAGCTGATGGCATCATTATTCTTGTGCAAACGGAGCGTAAAAGCGTCATCAAAATGCTAAGCAATGCCAAAGGGTTACAATCTTCGCTTTCAAAACTTTTTACTCCTATTTGGACGTCATTCAAAACACTTTTCAAATATACAGAGGTACAAGTGATTAGACTCGTTCGAAAACATTGCGTGAATTATATCAGAGGTGTAACATTTATCTCTAGTAAGTGAAAAATGTTGTTCTAATTCATCCCACTGCGACAAAATCCTCGTTACTGCCTTCTCCACTGACAGCCAGCGGGTTGCACAATATCTCAACATTTTCGAAGGATTCTCGCCACAATTTATTAACTGGTACAGTTCTTTGTACTCTTCTCTGCGTTTAGGTGAATTTGAAAACCAATTGTGAGTTTCCCTGATAATAAATTCAATATTTCTAGGCAATGTGTGATTGGAAGCATGGGACAAATCTAGTTATAATTAATGGCATACGCATTTCACAAGAACCAGATTTGTTAATCCATATTCAGTTTTAAGAATTTTATGTACGCCGTTATTTATACCGATCATAACAGACGCGATATCACATCCCAATCCAATCATGTTTCTCAGTGATATAACGTGTCTTCCCAAACATTTCAGCAATGCATTTACAATACCACGAGCGTCACCTGCGATCAGAGGTTCCAAATCCAGAAAAGATGACACTAAAGTGTTTCTTGCGGGGCTGAAATATCGTAACACCACTCCCAAATATTTGGATACGATAAGATCGGTGGACTCATCGAGCAAGATGCTATACTTGTGTGATCTGACGTATTTATTATTTTTACTATTTTCTTCTGAATGAAATGTTATGTTATAAAAAGAGCCAGCCTACCTTCCGCTATTAACGCATTAAAAACCGTCTTGGGTTGTGATTTGAGACCAGTTGAAAACTAAATTCTTCTGTTTGTAGATATAGTATCACATTTATCCTTACGTTTCTTTGACTCAGCATGTTTTCGCAAATTATTTATTCTTGCTTGTAAATCCGTCCGACAATACGCACAATAAGCTTTCATAGGGTCTGTCACAACAGGGTTAAGCCACTTTTTAAACTCCTCAATGTTTTCCCATTCTTTACGATATTTTTCGCCATGAACCTTCTTTTTCAAAGGAATTTCCATTTTGATTTTCGATGTACACCAATTTTTTTACAAAAGTTACGTATTCACACCATGATAACGCATTACGCAACAATTAAACACAGCGAATGAATAGGAATGATCTGTGAATGAAAATCTCGAAAAGAAAAGCTGTATGGTTATTGCAGGGGAAATCCCGTGTCTATGATAAACTATCTAAGGCGGACAAAGATATCAAATTACTAATTCAGTACCTAAGAGAGAGAGAGAGAGCACCAATCACGATTTAATGCCATCGTGTGATGATCGGTCGTACTGAGAATAATCAATGTTGTCAATACTATAATAAAAAAATACCTTACTAAATTTTCTTAAAACAACAAGGAGCAAACAAGCAGACGAGCCACCATCATGGTAAGTGGTCATCGTCGCCTATGCCGTCTTGAGAAAGTCGCTAAAAATCACCAAATCCATATCAAGTGACTTAACAAATGCAAAAATCGTTGAGTTATTGCAGAATTTCCTCAATCTAGCGACAAATTCTCCAAAGTGGCAGCACTGCTCGACGGTTACCAAGTCTCCTTCGAAACATGCAATGATCAACGACCATACAACCTATTCAATTGTGTCCGATATTATTAAAATATTTTGTTTAGTTTAATAACGTAGCCTATTCAATCGGTTTTCTAAAAAGATTTCTTTTATTCAGTGTTAATATCTACAGATTCGCCTCAACGTTTCATTATTATGAGCTTTTTTTGATACTGAAGGCTATTTATTACAAAAAATAGCCTTCATTATCTAATGCCATAGGCAAACTATATAAAAATATTTAAAAACGTGTTGTTTTTGCTATGGTAAAAGCATTAGTTTTCGTTTTTCAGTTTCAAAAAATGTTTTTATAACTGTCCCATACACTACATAAATAAAAACCATTTAAATTTATTATATATATATTACATAATATTGTGCTTATAATTTATCTTATTATATTACCTACATATTTTTTTATAACTGTTACGAACGATGTTAAGAACCCAATTTCATACATCTCCTTTAAGTTCAATAAAAAGAAAGAAGAACGATTTAAGTTCAAAACAGAAATTATAAAAGTTTATTAATAAACTATCAATGACAATTAAAACACGCTCACAGATGATTAAGAAAAATGCTATTAAAAGAATTTGTAACTCTGAAATTAATTAGAGCGTAGTAAGTGAATCTGTAATCAATATTTAATTAGTTTTAAACAATGATTTAAAAAAAAAATAAGATTTTTACTAAGAAATAATTTATAAATTATAATAGAACTTATTATTTATATTAAGTTTCTTATAAAAATATGTTTTTTTTTTTATTTTACTATCGCCTGTGCTAAACAATATCTTTTTTTTTAGTAAAATGATTTAAACTAACAAAACAAAGAGTTTAATGTATTTTAATCATAATAAAATACATTTTATATTGAACATAACATATAGTAATTTTTATAAAAAAATATTCCAATATTTGTACTTCGAGCTTTTTCACGTACAATTTTTTTATTTATTTTGTATAATTTATTAATTAAAAAAACGAATTCGAAAAGTTAACAGAAGTCTGATATTTTCAAAGTCATTTCATTTAGGGGATTTTGTTTCAATCTAGGGGATTTTAAGGGCGTTTAGGGGAAAATGTATGAGTCTATCTGGCAGCACTCCAGGTCAGTGCCGGTTTATTTTGAAGTTGGCAACCCCTTTGTTCTCCTAGGGCAACGGTAGGGAAGATGATTTATAAACAAAAAAATGAGCTTTCGTAGGACAAATATTGTATATAATATTGAAATTAATTAATGATTTATAATTACTGCTATACAAGAAGCAAATTGGCCGTATATTTCCAATAAAATGGCTTCTGTCAATACCCGGGATCACAAAATCGAACAGCAAGTTAGTTTTATAATTTTAATTTTATTGTGATATGATGTAAGTTCTGCAAAAATAGTCTTACTTTGTTTAACTTTTTGTAGCGTCAGTTAATGGAACAAAAAATGAAACAGAAACGACAGAATTCTGGAATGGTACAGGCTAACGACTTAAGAGTGAGTTCAGCTAAACGTCCCATATCTGGAAGCCGGTCTCGAGAACTTCATGGTTAGCTATAGTATAAAATTAATTATTACTTGTTTTCGTATGTAGTGTGTTATTTTTTTTGTCTGCATGAATATGGTGATTTTATTTTTTTTGTTGTACGCCTTATACTTTTTTTTACAACAGGCTATGATGGTCCGATGCAATTTCTTATGTCACCAGTCAATCCTGACCAAGTAATCCCACTTCAAACAAACAGAATTTCAACTTTTGATGGTGAGTATTTTTATTTTATTTGAAGCTTATTATTGATAGCATTTTCTTTTATGGTGTCTTTAACTGTTTTAAATTCATTCCCATTATTGTCCTATTCTTGATGGATTAAAATTAAGGCATCTAATTACTGTTTTGTATATTTTACTTTAATAACCAACTGCGAGCAACCCGCTTTCTATCCTTGCCGTTGCCAATGAAATTGTTCGTTGCAATTTTAAGTGCTGATTTACCACAATCGTAATGGTGAAGGAAAACATCATGAGGAAACCTGCATGTCTGAGAAATAAGAAAAAAATATTTCAAAGACATGTATGTAAATTTGATTGGAGCAGAGCAGTGGACATTTCTTTGCCCTAAAACTCTGTTAGAAATGAGAGAAGCCCTGTGGCCAGCATTGGGACATATAACCAAACATAATACAATGTAAAAATCTAAGCTTAAGTAATATGTAATATTTCTACCTGTTTGTTACTTAATGTTTATTTACTAGCAGTGCATTGTTGCTGGATGCGTAAGGGGGCAGTAAATTAATAATGGGTGATAAAACTAGCTCCGTAAAGTTTGTACTTTGTATAGTTTTCATTTTTTGTAATAACATTGACAAATACCTAAAATTATTGGTAAATACTACCTACAGGTAATTGTTCAATTTTATCTCAATCACAAAGATCTTATTTACAAGTTTTCTACGTTTTTAAATTTATTTTATGAAAAGAAGGCTTTGACTGACTCTTCAACTGAGGAACCATATCACTCTATTAGATCTACTTATAAAATGATTACAACACCAATCAAATGATACAAAGATATAAAAGAAACCATACAACATCTTAGCCTCATCTAATGTTGGAGAGGATAGAATGTGGCTAAGTTTTCCATTGACGTCCGTTGAGTTGGGGGTGGAAGAGGGGTGTACTACCCCAACTCGATGGATGACAATGGAAATTCGTACCGAAGAAATAATTGTGGAAATATTGTTTCAAATTTGAAAGGGTTATATTGTTAAATTATTAATTATAATATATACTAGCTGGCCAGGCAGATGTTGTTCTGTCCTCTCCGACGACCTTCTGTCCTATAAAAAATCCTTAAATTTGTAATAAAAAATATTGAGGGTCATTTATCGGGATAAAAACTATCCTATCTCTCAAGTTGGACCAAACTGAAGGCAGTGTGCAAAATTTTATTTAAATTAATTCAGTAGTTTAGGAGTCTATTACGGACAAACAACGTGACACGTAATTTTTATATACCTAGTCAGGTCATAAGTATTGTCACACAGTAAAAACTTTTCTTTTAGAATGCTGGCCACAAAAAAGTTTATTGAATTCAAATTTCGAATTGTTCATGAAAATAAAACTGTATACTTTTTAGATTTTTACTCATTTTTAAATATGGAGTGGACGCTTAAAGAAGACCGTGTTGCAGTTATTGCGTTGCATCGTTGCGGTTACGTGCCAATTCAAATTTTTGACATACTGAAAAATTTGAATATAACCAAAAGATTTGTTTATCGTACCATCAAACCATACAATGAAGACTCTAGTGTAGATGACAGGTCAAGAAGTGGTCACCCTCGGTCTGTTAGGACTCCAGCAGTGATAAAAGCTGTGAAGGCGCGAATTCAAAGAAATCCCAAACGTAAGCAGAAACTGTTGGCCCTTCAGATGGGGTTAAGCAGAACCACGGTGAAAAGGGTGTTAAATGAAGACTTAGGGCTTCGGGCATATCGAAGAAAAACAGGACATCGTTTGAATGCTCGTCTAATGGACCTGAGACTGAAGAGATGCCGCGCTTTATAGAAGCGGTACGCGGGAAAAAAAATATCGGGAAATTCTTTTTTCGGATGAAAAAATTTTTACCGTAGAAGAGAGCTACAACAAACAAAATTATAAGGTGTACGCATACAGTAGTGAAGAAGCGAGCAACCGTATTCCGCGTGTCCAACGAGGTCATTTTCCATCCTCGGTCATGGTATGGTTGGGAGTTTCTTATTGGGGCTTAACAGAGGTACATTTTTGTGAAAAAGGTGTAAAAACGAATGCAGTTGTGTATCAAAATACAGTCCTGACGAACCTTGTGGAACCGGTTTCTCATACCATGTTCAATAACAGGCACTGGGTATTCCAACAAGATTCGGTGCCAGCTCATAGAGCGAAGAGCACACAAGACTGGCTGGCGGCGCGTAAAATCGACTTCATCCGGCACGAAGACTGGCCCTCCTCCAGTCCAGATTTGAATCCATTAGATTACAAGATATGGCAACACTTGGAGGAAAAGGCGTGCTCAAAGCCTCATACCAATTTGGAGTCACTCAAGACATCCTTGATTAAGGCAGCCGCCGATATTGACGTGGACCTCGTTCGTGCTGTGATAGACGACTGGCCGCGCAGATTGAAGGCCTGTATTCAAAATCACGGAGGTCATTTTGAATAAAGTTTAGTATCATAAGAATCTATGTTTTGTTAAGTTCATTTTGGTATATAAATGGTTACATAATGAATAAACTTGTTTCAATTATTTTATATTAAACATGTATCATTATGCTCACTTGATTTAGCCACAGGAATCGACAGAATACCTACGCTACTCATAAAACATGCCAAAAACAGCCTGATCCCACCTGTAACATATATGTGTAACCTTTGCTTAAAAACTGGTGTTTTTCCAGACATCTTAAAAAGAGCTTTAGTTCATCCAATACATAAGAGTGGTGACAGAGACAGTGTTGAAAATTACCGGCCAATATCTGTACTGAGTGCGCTTTCTAAAATTCTTGAAAATGTTTTAAATTTTAGACTCACAAATTTTCTCAAACATAATATTATTATATTTATACATAATTTATATATACATAATATATAGATATTATTTCGGATAACCAATTTGGCTTTGTGAAAGGTAAATCTACTGAAGATGCAACTTTAATCCTAACTGAGACGATTGCAAAACATCTTGATAATAAGTCAAAAGTAATAGGTGTTTTTCTTGATTTGTCAAAGGCCTTCGACACTGTCTCTGTTCCCCTACTTCTTCATAAAATGGAACTGATCGGCGTACGGGAGATTGCTTTAAATATATTTCGATCTTATTTATCTAATCGAACGCAGTTAGTTAAAATCGGTGATTACACTAGTTTACCTGCAACTGTCTCGTTTGGAGTTCCACAAGGCAGCGTACTGGGCCCAACTCTCTTTCTCGTTTACGTGAATAGTTTATGCAAAATTACGGTGCCTAACTGCAAAATCATTTCGTATGCCGACAATACAGCTTTAATTGTTCACGGTAAAGATTGGAAAGACGTCCAATATTATACAGAGTTTGCGCTTGGTAAGGTCATGTCATGTCAACGCTAACTTCTTTGAAATGTTTTTTTTTGTAATTTAAAATAGATATAATACATAAGTGTAATTTGTCAAACTGAGAGTCTAATAAATTATTATTATTATACTACCTAGGTGTAAATGATTTTACTAACTGTAGCCTGTTGTATTCAAAAGGAATATTTAGAATTTTATTAATATATTTATTCTAGAATTAGGTAATCAGATAGAAGTTTTGACGATTGGCGATACCGAAGACAGTGGTGAAGAAGAAGAGGAGAGTGTGCCTGTTTGTAGTATGGGGCGAGATATAAGTACAGACGACGTGTGTGCAGATGCGGCTGTTGCGCCTCTTCAGGGTCGTACCACGCGCCGCGATGTCTCACCTAGCAGTCAGGTAACAGATTCACATCAATAATGCCATGTTACATTTACAAAGATACTTTGTCATTTTTAATACAAAAACATAAGTTACAACTTACATATATAACACAATCAAAAAAAATGGTATGTTAAAAGTGGAATTACATTAAAAAAAAATCCAATCTTGGTTTGTAATTAGTAATTAGTTTTGAATATTGGAAAATTATTTTATGTTTTAACCATGCTTACTCTATTAATATTTTAAGAACGCGGAAATAGAAGGTTCAGTGGAAGGCTCAGTAGAAACGTTTGTTGTAACACCAGCTAAACATGGGACCCTGTACAAATGCCGTATAGCGCGAGATCGCAAGGGAATGGATCGTGGGCTGTATCCAACATACTTTTTGCACTTGGAAAAAGACTATGGAAAGAAAGTATTTTTGTTGGCTGGTGAGTTTATTTATTTTCAAATTTTATTCTTAAAATGTAAATATGTAATGGATGACCAAAATTCCTTTCCTAAATTTCGTAACAACCAAGAGATTAGAGTAGTTTAAAAAAAACTGTTACCTATATTTTATTATTATGTTGCATCCCAGCATTTCTTTGGCCACCTGTACTTGAATCTACTTGCATGTAATGCTTGTTCTCAATACCGAATTTTCCGCCACGGCGGCCAGCCTCAACGGAGACTAGCCATCTGCTGTGCACCCACTATTCCTTCACTCTGACAAGTCTGGCCAGAGATCGCAAGACCAATGGCATTTTTGAGAATTTCTGTACAGAAAAACCCGATAACTGATTTATGGCCCAACCTTGAAATCGAAACCAGAACAATATGATCAGCGGTCGCGCTTACGAAATAGACTAAGAAGGCTAAGAAAGCTATCACGCTATAAGCAGGAGTGCTACCGGCCTGGGCTGATGCATCAATGTCTCGGGATGTAAACACCAGTGCTCTCAAAAAGAAGTATATCAGCCTCCAGGTCCTTCAAAAGAGTCATTGCCATGGCAAAGTCTGAGCACATCGGCAGAATTGGTGAGAAGCTAGTTCACCTTCCTTTGGTAACCCGTGCATTCTGGTCTCTCGCCAAGGCTGTCCAAGGGAACTTCTGTCAGTCCATCTCTTTCATCTCTGCACAAATAGGTCGACTTACTGGCCCATGCCGCAAAGGAGAAATCCGATTTGTTAGGCTCTCTCCTCCTCCTATGTAACATTGTTCTTCAACATTGCAACATATAACAGTACTGTACACATTAGAATAACAATGCAATATAACAATGTTATATGACATTGTCGTTTATCGTTCTGCCTTTCGATTTATAATTTGTGTCACATTATATAACACGTTTTATAACATTCGGCCTCCACATTACTAAATCATGTTATATAGCAACGTTTTATAACATGTTATGTTATGTAATGTGTACGCACCGTAAGACACATCATTTTATTTTATCGAGCGGATGTACGCGAGGTAATTTTTACCAACTTTAATATAATGGATTTCCGCAAAGTAACGCCTGATTCTATTAATTACATTGAAAGGAACACTGTTTTACAGAGTGCAAATGCACTCTTGATAACTAGAAGAAAATACCAACTGTGCTCTCCTTGTTAAGCAATTACTGAGTGGCTACGATTTAAGCAATGTGGCATCTATAAAAAATAGCAAGAACAACGAGCGCAAAGGGTCCCAAGAATTAGACAGGGCTTTAAATTTTTAGTTTACATATATACCACAAATTTTCATTTCTGGGTGCTAGTCGAGACGGCAAATATGAACCTGGTTATTTAGAAGTGAAATGCTCATTGATACGATTATAATAATGAACCCGAAGAAGCAATCAAACAAAAGAAAATTTACTTTTGGTTATATGCATCTGACGTTTTCACAGTCGACACAAAAAGCAAATGGTAATACCAAGTTCAGGGCCTAATTACAAACTGGTCAAAATATGTGTACATATATCAACATGGTGTTAGGTGCATCCATCGATAAACTTTTACGGGGGGATAAAGAGAAAAGATGTATATGAACGTGGGTGTCAAGAAGATGAGCATGAGCATGGTTTCAGCTTCACTTAAAATGTACTCAGCGCTCCGCTTTTTTTCTTTGTTGGTATGAGCAAGCATCAAGTTTAGTTAGGTGTAATATATAAAATGTAGCGGGAAAACTGTATCAGTGTGCGCATGCGTAAGTCAGCTTGCAATTCGAATATCTAAATTCGAGCACGTCAAAAATTTAAATACGTCCCTAAATACTAAATTCATTCTGTACTGGCACCTTAGCCGATTCATAGTTAAGTCTCTTATTGAATGAAACTAATTTTACAGACTTTATCGCGTTAAATTTAATGTATTTTACCTATTTTAATTCCCCGCATTTCGAGTGATTCACAGCATCCATGTTCACTGAGTTAACCTGGGTTTACCTTAAGTTTTTGAATATTAACCTTTAGTAATCCAGGGGTGATATCTAGACATCAAATACCACAGTCCACTCCTGACCATGGGTGATGAAAAGCGCTCTAAACGTTGGGAAATAAAATAAGTAAAATAAAAATTATAATAATATTTTATTTGCATAAAACATGATATATAAAAGATTTTACTCAACATTATATAACATTTACAGACAATAAGTAAAATTAATCGCCAAAAAAACGTTTAAAATTATTTATTCACTATTATTTCAGGACGAAAACGCAAGAAATCTGCTACATCGAATTATCTAATTTCAACCGACCCAACCGAATTGACACGCCAGGCCGATAGTTTTGCTGGCAAGCTGCGTTCAAACTTGCTCGGTACAGCTTTCACTGTATATGATAATGGGAAAGCCTGGAGGAAACACGACCATGCACACACGAGACAAGAACTAGCTGCTGTTGTTTATGTAAGAAAATACAAAATATATCCGTCACATTATAGTAAAATATAAATAAAAGTAATTTGTGTTATTTTTGAAGTATTTGGATACAACGTTTTTTATCAGTTTATTTGTATATTATATTATGTGCCTACGTCTCGAAAACGTTATTTCAGTGATTTTGTCTTAATTGTATTAGCTCATATTATGAAAATCATAAACTATAGTTTCACTTAACACACAGCTATTTTTATTGGTTAAATGGATCACTACATCACGGTTTTCTTTCCGGTGATCAGTTTCACTCCGGGTTCATTTCGGACTTTTTACAGTGTAAATTGTCAGATCCGTAGTAGCTCAGATGGTTGCAGCTCGCTGTAAATTTCACGCGAGCAACCCTGGTTCGATTTCCGTCGGCATCAATGAAATTCTCAGTTGTAATTTTAAGTGCTGATTTTCCACGTGCTCAGCGGTGAAGGAAAACATCGTGAGTAAAGCTGTATGTCTGAGAAATAAGAAAAAAATATTTCGAAGACATGTGAAGTTTGCCAACACGCACTGGGCAACGCAGCGGACACTTCCTTGCCCTATTAACCCTCTCAGAAATGAGAGACTTATATAGGCTAACTTTACTTTACTTTACAGTGTAAATAAAATATTTATTAATAACTACAACTGCGCCAGCTATCAAGTCCAATTTTGTGATTTTTTTTTTGCCATTAAAAGATGTTAATGAATCATTTTAGTTCATAAATACATAATTTGTATAATTACTTGATCACAACACCACCTATCAAGAAGTCAAATTCAAGTAATATATTGTGTAGGTAAATGTGATATCTATTGGCGAAGTCATTAAGAACTTACAAAATGACTAACAGATGCACCAATGTATATGAAAATAATAATTTGATTTTTCATAATATTTACATTATTTTTTTAAGTTCTGCAATATATAATATTATTCACTATAAATATTTCAGGAAACAAACGTGCTTGGCTTCAAAGGACCACGCAAAATGACAGTTGTACTCCCAGGTATGACGCCCGATCGTCAACGGGTAACAATTGCCCCACAAGATGACAGCGAAACCCTTCTTGAACGACTGAAAACCCAGACCCTAGACGATATAGTTGTACTTCACAACAAAACACCAGTATGGAACGACGAAACCCAGTCATATGTACTTAACTTCCATGGCAGAGTAACCCAGGCAAGTGTTAAAAACTTTCAGATTGTCCACGATTCAGAACCAGATTATGTGGTGATGCAGTTTGGTCGCATATCAGAGGATGTCTTCACTATGGACTTCAGATATCCATTGTGCGCACTGCAAGCATTTGGTATTGCTCTAAGCTCATTTGATAGTAAATTAGCTTGCGAATAAATACTAATTTATTCACTAGCGCAAAAAATATTTAAAAAAATAAATAACTTTTTAAGGTGTTGTATACCACAGTCCAGGGTCCTAAGTTAAAAAAAAAATATTATTACTAATTTTTAATAATTTCAATCAGATGAATTGATGAATTTAGTTTTTTATGTGAGGCGAATTATACAAAAATCATGTTACCTTGTAATATTTTGGGTGAATTTGCTAATTATTTATATAACTTATAAAGAAAAATAAACATACTCATTCTTAACATCATCAATGTTAACAGAAACATTTATATTTAAATATTTCTGTTAATATTAAACACTTTTTTTTTTCAAATTTCAAAATAAATACCTTCGATTTGTACTGTGAGTTACACACACACACATACAGTACCCGTAATTATACACGGTTTATTTTAAAACAAAAAATATGTACAAATATATGCTCATGCATTCAATCTTTTCTTTTTATTATAGTAGCTTTAATTAGGAACACCAGTTGTATTTAGTATAATCTATTTTGGTGATACCAGTAGCTCATTTTATTTATCCTTATGTTAAGTACTGTAAAATATCTGTACCCAGTACAATAATTTGTTTTGGTTAACCACTGTATCTAATAGTACATCATATAAATATTTATATGACGTACTATATGAATTTGACATATTATGTTGCTGATATGCAGCATCATAAAGATTCTGATCAGCTCCACTCCACTAGTAATATCTGGTGGCTAGCTATTTGTCTAAAAATTTTCTTCAAGTCATATCAAAGACTTGCTAAACAAATGAAAGGCATGATAAATTAATGTTGAGTAAATCACCTTAAACAAATCTAGTTATAGATCTTAAAATCCAGTATTAATAATGAAAAAAAGCTCAAAGACAAAGGTTGGGGGTTACTGAAATATATATTTCTTGTTATCGACTTCACATCACAATAATCATATTAAGTGATTCTATTACATATCTGCTGAATGAGTTGATTGTATGTGTAGGCCTGTAGGATGTAGTAGTCAACTGTTAGATTAGTTATGAAGTGTTTTACAATTAAGCAAGCGCACACAAATTGTTTTTTGGTGCTTTTATGACATGGGTTGTGTTATTAATTATTATATTTTGTGCATTTGTCATTCATCAATAATCCTGTGAACAAATATTAGTGTTAGTAATTGTAAGGGTACTTGGATACATATACTTGATGTAGGGAGACAACTCTCAATTCCAAATTTTTTCTGATTTGATATAATATGCATACTTATGTTCACATAAAATGGGCATTTTTGCATTATGCTTAAAGTCTACATTCATTGGGAACAGATAAATAAAAATAAAATCTACAGAAGTACTTTCAAACTGTTAACATCCATTTAATATGAAGAAATCTGTTGTTTAATACAAAAAGACGACATTAATAAAATATTTCATACACATAACTAAATATGTGCTATGGTGCTTTGCCATCATCACACTATGAGGTGGAATAGTGGTCAAGCCCTGGCCTATAATAGTTAAAAAAAACTTTTGTCCAAGGATACAGTCTAGGAATTGAGTTGTAAAATAAGCATAATTAGTATGGTATGTGTGTACAAATTACATTCCAATTGGTTTTTATTTTTAAAGTGCCATGATGATGTTATTGATTTGGACCACAAGTTCAGAATACTGAAGCTATTAATTGCGCTAGAGAAATATTAAACATAAAGTTAATATGATATCTGGGCTGCAAGAAATTTGAAGAATATTACTACTATACTTAGGTACTAAGTGGTAGGACTTTTCTGCCTAGTTGTCCGTCTGGGTAGGTACAACCACGGAGCAAATACAAAGAGGAGACGCCCTAAGCAACTATGCACTGTAATTCTAACTAGGTCCTGACATCACAGTGGGCGTGGCTTTAGTTAGTCTATTGTCAGCGTTCGTCCTGTGCGCTTCTGTGTCGAAAATCGCAAATCGGTGTATTTTCGTAGTATTAAGAAGAAAAGCATGAAGTGTTATTTTATTGTGTAAAAACTACTCGGATATACGCTCTGATGCTATGGATGGCATCACATTTCATTTGTAACTAATTTTATACCTCATTTATTAAAATATTTCTAGAAAAATCTCTGCGTCGGCTTTCAAATATAATTAAATATATTCGACACTAGATGGCGACACTTTGTGTCACGAGAACTAAAATAAAGGTACGTAGAGCTCAGTATTGGTAAAGTAAAAAAATCAAGGTGCTGAAATTTGTAGTTACAAAGTTAGTTTTAAAATATTATAGTTACGAGCTTGGGGTTCAAAACAAAAAGACATTACCTAATAGTGGCGCGCAACATTATTTTTGTAGTTTTATAATAATTTTGTGAACAGGTCGCCATCTATCGTCAAGGTAGCTAAACTACATTGCAACATCGATATGGAACGATGCTAGTAGTTTTACTATTTATCGGTAGATGGAAAATAGTTAAGTGGGCGGGGCTTAACACCCCCTCATCCCGCAAATTGTCACGCGTTGTTACATAGTGAAATCTAATTACAACACCTCTTTGTATTCGCTCCGTGGGTACAACCCTGTTACTTATTTCTGCAGTCAAATGCATGTAATTGCTGTGTTCTTGTCTGGTCTGGTCTGAAGAGTGTAGAGAACTAGTATAATTACAGGCTGTGAGGCATTCCATCTTATTTATTGAGGTGACACAGCATCTGTAGTCTTCTTTGTTTGAATTTGGTTGCAGATGTCCATGGGCTACATAGCCGCTTACCTTGGTAGACTGTAATTTTATTTTTATAAAAAGGATTTATACGCAAAATATTTGCTCTAGTGTCATATCTATACAGGAAGAAATCATACGAATATGTTTGTATGGGCTAAAAAATACCCGGATAACCTCTTTAAGTCTATGCGCTACCACACAGAAACTCGTTCGAACTTACTCTCGCCCGATTTAATGCTAACGCGAAAAATCGAGGACATTAGGATGTAGTAAGACACAGTGACGATCATAACCAAACCTGACTCGAAATTTAAAAATTGTGTTTTTGCACAAATGCGATTCCAGGTTCGAAACCCAGTTGGTCTATAACTATTTCGAATTTGAACCCAGGAACCATTGCCATATAGCAATTAGCGAAGTATTCTGACCTTGATGTCATCAAACACAATAAATAAACAATGGCATAATCACAATTTTATGTGCAAATAATTTTTAAGAAATCTTGTTATTGTATTATAAACTTATGTTGTCCTAGTCATTATTTGTAGCATAATTTTAGTTATATAATATATTAATTATCTCACAAACCTTAATTTGCACAATTAATGTGAGTCACACATGTAAGATATATGGGTATTAATTTGTTTGGGATTGAATTTTATGACCCTCATAAATATATTTAGCTTTATTTAATAAATATTTATATGAACATTAATTATCTCAACAACATGTCATTCTCTTTATCATGCATTTCACACTGTCTAGTTAATGATATATCTAAAGCCTGAATTCCTCCTAGGCTGACGTCGATTGCGTACGGTTGGTCGCGTACGTCAGTGAGAAATTAAATACCATACTGCGATACCGAGCTCTATACGGTACAGTCGTATGCTAAGTGAATTTCGGAAAGAAGATCGGTAAGTAAGATACAATGTTAATAATTATGATTATTAACATTGACTTTTACTTACCGATATCCTTTTTTTATTATTGTATTATTGTAATCCGGAAATAAAGCTAAGCTAAATATTTTGCTCTCACATCTTTGTACAAATCATTAGATAAATAAGACGTTCTATATCGATATTCATTGCACAGTAACAGTAGTAACAGTGGTAGAGCCACGCGGCAGCTTTTGCTGTCGCACGGATGGGCCGGCTCGAACCGGGGTGGTACCACGACCTCACAGAATACCAGCGTGAAGTAGAGGTTTACCTCTGCGTTTCGCTTGGTGAGTGCAGGTGGCCGGAGGCCCGTTTTACTGGAAATGAGGCATTCCATCTTAGTCCTCACGGGTGTCAACGCATCTGCATTTTAATTCGCAAACGAGGATAGATGTAGATGTCTATGGGCCGCAGCAACCACTTACCATCAGGTGGACTGTGTGCTCGTTTGTCACCCTTATCCTATAAAAAAAAAAAAAAAAAAAACTGTATGTGCACGCGTGGATCGTCGGTAATAGAGTGAGGGTGAGGGCGCTCGCACTGTTCCACGCTCGTCAGTCGACTGACGCGCGACGTACGCGGCGCGCAGCAAAGCAGCAATCTATGCGCCGCTGTCGTCAGCGTCCTAGTGTGCGGCTATATAGAACACAATGTACATTAGTACGCGCGACTGACGTCAGCGTAGGAGAAATTCAGGCCTAAATGATTCCTGATTTTAAGAATAGAGAATAGTATACAATTATAAAGTAATGATATAGAATTCACATTCTTATTTTAAACTTACTATGCAAAGCTTCTAGATACATTTGGATTATACTTTTATTTGGTAATGAAATTAAACATTCCATACGAAATTTTCGTACTTATAATTTTATAAATCTTTTTAAGTGTAACTTCCACGTTAGAATGTGTACTGAGTTTATAACACAAAATTTTAAATACCCACCAATTACCCACCACTGCCTCAACAATGTTTGTTCATTCTTTGGTTTAATTTTAGCAGCAAGAATCACTGTTCTAAATAAAATAACATTTAAAGACAAAATAATAACCTTTTGTATTTTGAAGGTTTGAAATAGGTGATAAATCATTTATTTCTTTGTAATTATTCGTAAAGTTTATTAATATAGCTTTCAACAAATTTTAACTGACAATTGCTTTTGTTGATAGTATGGTAAACTAATAGATATTTTTATCTATCTAAGTTTTACTCGCATCGTGCTACACTTAGCCCAAATTCTTACCCTTCCAATAATGCCGTCATTTGTTCATAGTATTATATATAATATATATATATTAGGTCAAATTATTAAATATTGTTTCACTTGCTCCTAAAATGACGACGATAGCTAGCAACTG